TGTGTTTGCAGGCTTTGTGCTCTTTAACCCTCTGAACTCTGAGCAGTTTGCTTGCCCCCCCGTCACATTTTCACTCACTTTTTCACTGCGATATAAAACCGTGCACCTCCGTAGTAAAGGGGAAAACTAAAATACGTCTTCTGTGAAGTTTGACGAAATGCCATAAGTCATCAACAAAATTACAGTTACGTTTCTTTTCTTTGTAATCAACATGTCATTTTTTTTGCCATTACCACAAATACATGGTGGCTTTAAATACTGTAGATATTTAACTACTTGCATTTTTTATTCATTTCCATGCGGCTCGGTGCAAATAAACACAGCCTGCAGTTCAGCCGAGTCGCTGATGCTTTATCAGCTGCAGAATCCGGTTTTTAAATGCATCATGTAGAATAATAAAGGAATATATTTTGGGGGGCTTTTTGCCTTTATTTAGAGCAGTAGAGACAGACAGGAAAGTGGAGAGACCTGCAGCAAAGGGTCGTGAGCGGGAGTCGAACCCACGACCGCTGCATCAGGGACCTATAGCCCCTGTTCAGGGGTCGCCCGCTCAGCTAGGTGACCTATAGGGATGCCCAGAATAATCTTTTTAAAGAAACTTCAGCTGAGATTTGGCAAATGTTTCTGATATAGTGACAAATGAGCAGTTTAAGGACAGTTGGAAAGCTGAAAAATTCCACCATTCCGGACAAATTTAGTAATTTTAATGATTTTTTTTTTTTTTAAAGCAAGTTTTGGGGTTCAGAGGGTTAAATCTCAGGTTTAAAACACATCTGTGAACGTGCGTAGATAGCTCAAATTGATGTTTAATGAGTGAGAACCGTCGTCTACCTCAACACAACTATGAAACCTGAGTGTCAGTACCATCCTCTAAATGTCTGCGACTCACCTTCCTGCTCGTCCACCCGCCCTCTGTTGTCCAGGAGCTGTCGGGCGGCGCAGGGAGCTTCTGGCTGTGTCTGACGGGGGTCAAGCTGTCTTCGGACCAGAGTCCTGCTGTGCTTCACTAGAACGTCCCACCGCCTCCACCTCCACGTGGGGCAGCAGCGCCGGCGTCCCCCCCTCCCGCTCCCCTCCCCCTCCCCTCCCCCCCGACAGCCTCGCCTTGGCGGACCTGGGATCGGCTCAGGAGGATCGACTCGACTCCTTGTCCCGTTCTTCCTCCTCCTCCCTCAAAACGACATGCACACGCAAACACATGCACGCACACATGCACATCTGCACCGACGTAGAGCCTCCCTCAGCGCCTGCAGCACCCTGCTTCGCCCCTCCTTGCCTTCCTCCCTCTTTCCTCCCTCCTTCCCTCCCGCCTGCAGCACCCTGCTTCGCCCCTCCTTGCCTTCCTCCCTCTTTCCTCCCTCCTTCCCTCCCCTCCCCTTCCCCTCCACCTACTATTCTGTCTATGCAGTCACTCTGACCCCCAACTACAACCTCAACCTTTTCCCCCCTTTTACTTCCCGGGACTGTTGTTTCTCGTCTCCCCCTGGGTTTTTATCCGAGGGTTTTTGTCCCCCTACCCCCCTTCCCGTGCAGTCAGAAAGGCGACGCTCGCCGGCCGGGTCTGACTGGATCTCAGCGGACTCCACGGGACCCCTCAGCTCAGGGGGAGACTCCAACCAAGTAGCCACGCCTCTTCCTCTTTCTTCACGGGCATTTCCTGATGGACGCACACGTAGCTGAACTGGGTCTGTTTCCGATGGACAGCCATATGTTTTCTCTCTTTTTTTTTTTCTTTTTCTTTCCGAGTTTTCTTCCTGTGTGTGCGCACAGTAAACCCGCCGAGACTGAACTCTCTAATAACTAAAAGTCATGTACAGAAAACTCATGTATGAAACCTGTATGTTAATTAATAAGACCTTATGGAATGTTGATAATGATAATTAACGAATATTGATAAACTAAAAGTGGTACTTCCTCATGTCTGCATTTCAAATAGGAGTGGAGTGCACTTCACAAGTGTCTAGCTGGAGTTTCCGCCCCCCAAACCGCTCGCCGAACCTAATGACAGCTCTCCCGTTTCTACCGGGAGATTAAACAAGAAAAGCGCTTTCTTTCTTTCTTTTTCTTCTTTTTTTTTTTTCTCTCTCTCTGCTTCCTTCTTTCCTTCTGGTTCTTTTCTTTTCTATCTTTCCTCCTCGCTGTCTTTCTTAATTCTTGACTTTTCTTTGTTCCAAACGGGGAAACGGTAGCACCACAAGTAGGCCAGCAGGGGAGGAAAGTCGAGAGTGAGCGAGCGAGAGAATGTAGGTTAGAAAAACCCTTTCTCTGAGGCTTTATCAATGGAAGCAGATGACTCAAGTGCACTTTGCAAAGGTTTTTTTCTCGGCAGAAGTGCACTTTCCGAAGGCTATTAGACCGAGAAGCAGCTGGAGAGAAGTCGACGGCGTTTGTTTTAAACTTCAAGGCCTCAGGTGAACTTCAGTGGCACTTATAAATTTAATTTTTTTTCTTTTTCTCTCTCTCTCCCTCCCACTGAAACTGGTTTCGAGACCTCAGATGTGAATAGAAAAAAAAAGAAAAAAAAAAGAAAAAAAAACAGCTCATCTTCAGCCTGAGACAGTGACATGTCTAATATGAATATGCTTTATATGATATATATGTATTAGAGGTATATTTTCAGCCAGTGAGCTATCTTCTTCAGAGATGTCAACCATTCCTCAGTTGTATGACGTTATCACACAGACTTAAATCACTCCCCCCCTTTACTGAGTAGCATTCTGACATGTGTAGAGTTTATTATATGCTTTATTCTATTAAATCTCGTATAAATTAACGACGTCCTTATACAACAAACGGCCAATGTAAAGTCCTTCGAGAATTTACTGATGTTGATTGATGACTAAACCAAAGGTTGGCACTTAACTCAGAGAGCGTATTTAACAGTTTTTGATTTTTTCGTTTGGGTTTCGTTGTTTTGTCGTTTGTTCGTTTGTTTTGGTTTTTTTTGGGTTCTGGATGTGGGAGAATGTAGCCAATTGTAGCGCATGAGTCCGCTATGCAAATCAACCTTCCCTCACAATCCTTGTATCAGAGACAGTCAGGAGGCAGACACACCCACCCGCCGGCGCTCTCACGGACTCTGGCAGAGACTCGGAGGCGACTCGGAGGAGGAGGCGGAGGAGGAGGAGGAGGAGGAGGAGATGATCTCATGTTTTAATGCTGCTGGTGAACTTTGTTGTTCTGCATCTACTGCTAATGTTTTCAACCAATGGAATGCAAAAAGAGAGCAACAAGGAGGTCGAAAGAGGGCGAAAGAGAACGAATGAATGTAAACCAAAGGATGCGAGTTGTGTGTTTTTGCTGCGAGTTGGCGCGGCGGTCGGAGACGACCGAGAGGAAGAGGAGGGCGGAGAGACGATGATGAAGAAGAAGAAGGTTTATTTGTGGGTGTGTGTAGATTGTGTGTGTCAGTTCTGGGGTGGTGTTGCTCGGGGAAAGAGGGAACCTGTATTTTTGCAATAAAGTTATTACCAATGCACTCCCACAGGGGGCGTAACCACCGTAACACGTCTGCTTCATCATTTTGTTTCTGGAAACATCCATCCATCCATCATCTACATCCTCACTAGTCTATCCCAGCTGACTCAGGGTGAAGGCAGGTTCACCTGGACAGGTAACCAGTCTATCACAGGGCTACACTTAGAGACAGACAACCAAGCACACTCACATTCACACCTACGGACAATTTACAATCACCAATTAACCTCAACATGTTTCTGGACTGTGGGAGGAAGCCGGAGAACCCAGAGAGAACCCACGCTGCACGGGGAGAACATGGAGACTCCATGCAGGAAGATCCCAGGTGTCCCAACTGGCGACCTTCTAGCTGTGAGGCAACGGTGCTAACCACCGAGCCACCCTTTCTGGAAACACGGGAAAAAAAAGAAGACATCTACCTTTTTAAGGAACAAGACTTTCACTCTAAAAAGTCCTCGGCCTCACTGGGAAACAAGCGACTCAACTCCCATTTTGGGGCTTTCTTCAAAATTTCAAATGTTTGAAGAGAAAAAAGAAGAGGAAGCTTCGGTCTTTCTGCTGTTGCTTCCGGCAGCCGTCCACACAATGCAGGTGGCAGAAGCAGCCAGATGTGGCTTTGAACTGTTACTCACCAGACCTGCACCGCCTGACTTCTGTTTCCCAAACGGAAATTTCACCTGCGTGGTTGCTGTTTTGTGATGAAGAGGTCATGCATGCATGTTGAGGAGTACCAGGAGGCTCAAGATGCAACCTTGTTTGGCTAAAGGACGGTGAAGCTTGAACATCGGTGGACCAAGTGCATTAAAGTTATAGAAGATTATTTTGAAAAAAAATGCAAGAACAGTTTTTGTTCTGACTTTTTCTGATGAAACCGAAAACTTCTTGAAGTGCCCTTGTACAGGCCAGTCCCAAAAGCACCCAATCAGTTTTTTTTTTTTTTTTTACCTTGTTAGCATGTTCAAGTGGTGTTTTTAATTTGCTAGAAGACACATCATGAGAGAAATAAGCAGTCGACGCCTTGGCTAAGCATTTCTAGAAGTGGAACCGTTTGGATGTTTCCATTTCTAGAACGAAGCAACCAATCCGGTCACCTTGCAGGCCTCTGTATTGTTATTCTTCTTCAGAATCCAGCTCAAGCATGTTCGACTGAATTACTCCAGTAATACAATTTGTTGTTTTGCAGCATTTGAACAAAGTTGTCAGTGAGCTGGTGTGCTTGAGCTGCAGCGAGGCGGGGTCTCTATAGAAATGAAGATTCTAGAAGAAGCAATAGCGTAGAGTTACAAGACTTTTTAAAGCAGAAGGGATTATTTTAATGGAAACAATTATAATCTAAATGTATAGCTTTGATAAACAGATGAGTTTTTAGGGGTTTATTCAACATAAGGAGAAAAAAAATCCCTTTAATGTAAAAAAAAAACCCAAAACTATTTATGTGATTTATTAAACTCAAACTCATTTGTTCATAACCAAAAAAATTGCTTGAAATGTCAGAATATTGCAGCATATCGACTGAGAAAACACAGTTCTGTGGGGCACAATCAGCCCTGGAACATGTTGCTGACACAGGAGCAAAAACATGCAAAGAAAAAATAAGTATTGTTCAGTAAACTTGCAAATTACCTACAAAATTAAGTTAGCAGATAAATGTAGAGGAATAAAAAGCACAACATCTGCCTGTAAATTGCAGGAAAGTAGCTGTATGAAGTAACAGAAATTAAGAATATTCACAAAAAGTTCACAATTGTCCTTAAGCTGATGCAGAGTTTAGTGTAAATATGGTTTATTTTTGCACTTAACATTAATCAGAATCAGTTGTGTATCCGCTCTGGCTTTTTTTTCTACAAGATCAAATATTGAAATTAAATATTTACTTGTCCAATTAGCATATAGTTTGGCAACCCAGTGATGTCAACATGGTAGAAACTGCAGGACAGGACTGGACAACACCCAAATGTGCAGACATCGTTTACAGGCAAAAGAAAATCCTCACAACTGCAATAGTTTCAGGCTGAAACAACCACGACTGAACACGTATTTAAGACACACTAAGAGTGTTATTTTATTTATACTGAATGTAAGTTAATGTAAGAACCCATATCAATGCACTGAGCAGTCACAAGAAATAAATGTTTACAAGTTTTTAGGGGCAAATTTTTTGTTGAGTTCACTTAAGTTAAAGTTATGCAAAGTGGATGAGAAAGGAGATGCATCTGAAATATACATCCTGTATAATATGCTGAGATACACAATTAGATTTTAAACAATAGTTTGGGATAGGTGGTGGATCTGTTTTGGGAATACTAAACCAGAAAAATATACTATTATTTAGGTTCCTGAATTATTTAGATACCATTATTTTGTTGTGCATGTTGGCTACAGCAGCAGTGTTACCGTGGACATGCAAACCCTGCCAGAGATCTTTCTGCATCCATCTGTGTTCCCACTCTTGTGCCTTTGATCAGATTTTTGTGGCATTTTCCTGGAGAACCCAAACCTCTATATGTCAAATGATTTATTTTCCTTTCTGTGGGGCGAAAGCTCTACAGAAATATGTCTGGCACAGGCCGTGTATCTGGGTTTCACAGCTGATAT